TCCATTCGTTTTTATTTCTGACACTGACATATTGGGTGAATATGATTTTTATGTAAGAGTCAGCTATGTGTTTGTGAGCCTTGAAAGTAGGCATGCTGCTGAATAGTGCTGGTTGTGAATTCTGCAAGGGCTGTACCCAAAGGAAATGTTGACAAGTAGAGAATATCTGAAGAGAATTTCTCCCTTGCTCACATCCCTGCACTCTTAAAGACAGAAATTCTAGTTAAGTTGTCAAAGACCTTATTTGCTTATAAGAGGTGACCCTGGATTGGTCTCAGCCTTCCAGAATGGACAACTGGACTCTATTGTCTATAAGGTACATGGACCAGTTTCTGCCAATAAAATGATCACATTTTTTGTGCTTTTGCTCATGCGTCCCCACCCCTACTCCATCACATCCCTTCCCACCCCCATAAAGCTTTGTTCAGTGGAATGAACAATTGGTGGAACTTTGGCTCTCAGTGAATAGACACTTGACTTGCTTCTAATATGAAGTATATCATATATTCCAGTGGCCTCTGGCCCATGTTTGAGCATACATTAGCCCAACGTAATATCTTACTACAATATTTAATCATATTATAGGGCCTCCCTGGTGGCACAAGGGGTTGGGCACCACGCTGTGAAGCAGTCCACAGCCTCGCAACAGGAGTTCAATCCTGGGCTGGCCAGGAAGCAGCCCACATAGCGCAGCAGACCTTTCCTGTCTCACCCACTGCTCCCCTCAGCAGTGTATTTCAGTCAGTCTGCCTGTTCTGTTCCCCACTCTGGCTCTGGTGAACCCTCTCACATACACCCCCCAACATCTCTGACCTGTACCCCAGTTCTTGTATGGATAGATGAATCTTTAAAAATATATATTTTCATATTATTGATTAAACATTTTTATTTCTACAGTTTTAACTTTTTGTTATTATTTCTTAGTTCCTATCTGTAATATCAAAGTTTTTTTTTTAAACGAAATACAGGGCCTTCTCGGTGGCACAGCAGTTGAGCGCTGGGCTGCGAAGCTGCCCACAGCCTCTGCAGCGCCAGTTTGATCCCCGGCCACGGGGCGAGGGTCCCACATGGTGCGCAGACATCTCCTGCTGCCCGCTGCTCCCCTCAGCAGTGTGTTTCGTCAGTCTGCCTGTTCTGTTCCCCGCTCTGGCTCTGGTGAATTCTCTCACCCTCCTGCGCTTCTGATTGCACCCAGTGCTTGTATAAATAAATAAATAAATCTTAAAAAAAAAAAAAATAAATACAGCTGGTACCGTATATATATTTTTCCACAAATATTTAAAATAAAAACTGAAGTAGGAGATGAGGAAACTTCTAGGAAAATTCCTATCCTAAATCAAAGGAATGTGTAATTATTAGGTGTATACAGAAACTAAAACCCAGTATTGTTGTATAATTACTATTGTATACAGGAAATTTTAAAAAAGAAAGATTCTGAACTGGTCCTTGTAAACTTTATTTCAGAAAGTGGTAAAATAGCTGTTGAGTACAGACCCTGTGAAGCCATCAGAGATGCCAGAGTTGAAGAAGAACTACTACAGGATTTAATTGAAGTACGTGGAGACAAAAGCTTGGGATTTCATAGTCAGTATAGCCATAATTCAAAGCAATCAGTAGGATTTGGAGATCTTTGGCATGTAGTTAGTGCTATTATCTACATGAAAATGTGAAACTCTGAAACTGCTTTTGAGTGCAGATAATTTCTAAGACTTTTCCTGAAGTTCTGGCCCTTGGCTCTGACCGACCCCTTATTTGGAGAGAACTAAGAACCCTCAGAGTACTCCTATAGTTGTAGGAGACTGTAGAAGCACACCCTTATGAACTCTTCTCAAACAAGATCCCAGAAATCTGGGAAGAAAGGAACTATGGCCTTAAGTGTGATTGTGCTATAGCATTCAAAAATGATTGTACTTTTAAATAAGGTATAATATACACATCCTGACATCATATATATACATATATATATGTGTGTGTGTGTGTGTATATATATATATATATATATATATCTTGTATGAAAACTTTTGCTGAAGGAAATAAATGAATGTCCTGAATTAGGGATTAAATTGTCAAAGTAATGTCTAAAAGAAAATATTAGTTTGCTACATATGGGATATTTAAAGGGGGGGAGCAAAAAAATGTATTTCATGTTATTGAGAGATTGAGGCTACACTTTTTATTATTTAGCTCACCCCAATGTTGCAAAGTTTGCTTTGAAAGGAAGAAAGTAAAGGAAGAGAAGGTGGTTACATTCTGAAAAAGGATTTTGTGTGTATGTGCAAAATAATGTTTTAATTCAACTTAAATCAAAGCACTCAAGGAAACTTCAAACTTATCCAAACTTAGGTTCTAAGAATGCTAACTTACTATGAAATGTCAGAGGAAGGGATACAGTACTAATGCTAAAGATTTCAAAAACCTGATTATAACAATGATCATCTGAAAACGAGGCCAGTCTTTGAATCAATTCCATTTAAAAGCCATTACTGGGCCTCCCTGGTGGCACAAGGGGTTAAGCTGCAACCTATGAAGCTATCCACAGCCACTGCAGCAGGAGTTTGCTCCCCGGCCAGGGAGCTACCCACATGGCACAGCAGACCCTTCCTGCCATGCCCGCTGCTCCCCTCAGTAGTGTATTTCAGTTAATCTGCCTGTTCTGTTCCCCACTCTGTCTCTGGTGAATTCTCTCACCCCCCACATCTCTGGCCGGTACCCCAGTTCTTGTATGCATAAATGAATAAATCTTTAAAAAGAAAAGAAAAGCCATTACTATGTGCCACACGCTGGGAATAGGTGAAGCCCCTTTACTCTTGGAGTTTGCATTCATTGGTATGTCAGCCAATAAGCAAGACTAAAATAATTATAAAAGGGCTGTGAAGGAAGTAAACTGGATGCTAATTACAGTATTTCAAGAAAATGATTTAATATGCTGACTTTAATATCCTGAGTGTCCTCATGTGTCCATGCAGGGCAGACTTCTGAAAAGTGGCATTTTTACTTCTTCTAAATTGCTGTGTTGAGCCAGGATGAGATGGGGCAAGTTTCCCCATGCCAGTGTAAAAGGGCTAGTCACTAGATCTCATATGCTCTCTTCCAGAGTGAATTGCTCACTTCCCAAAAACCCTCCTACAGAAATTGTGGAGTCCTCACTGTCTCAGTGGTAATCCTTATCTAATAGTGAATAAATGATCAGATATTGATACTGAGTGTTTAGAAGAAATGGAAACATTTCAGAGTAACTGGAAAATATCTCCCCCGCCCCACCCTGCCCACCCCACCCTAACTCATGCTCATTTTTCAGGTCAACTACTTCTCTTGGAAGGGACATGGCCCAGGAGAGGAAGAATGTCTTTCAGATTTCAGCTTCGAAGGGGAAGAGTTCAGAGTGCCCAAACTGGACCAACACTTTTGAATTTCCCAGGATACCAGACTGTATGGCTCCCTCGGGGAGCTCTGTGCCCCCATCTCACACTTGCATGTCCTTTAATCTCCCGGTGGGCTGTTGTTAGTGCCGGGCCCCCCACGTATGCAGTCCAAGTCCTGCCTCTCTATGAAGGGGAGAGGGAGCCGTGCTGTAAGTAGGTGTCGTCTTTGCAGGGGGAAGGAAGGCTTGTGCTTTGGTGATTCTGGAGAAAGGGCTCGCTCTGATGGTGCAGAACTTATCTTGGCCCGAGCCTAATAAAGGCGGCGTAAATAAAGGTGTCATAAACAAAGGGTGGGGCGTGGGGGGGGGAGGGGCGCGCGCTTGCTAAGTGCGCTGGCATCACGGGGCTGCCTTAACGGTTGGGCTCCCGCTCAGGGCGCCGGCGCCCCACTGGCCTGGGTCGCTGCGCCCCGTAGCCTCCGCATGTCATGTCCCGGCTGCGCCTCTGGGCTCCACGGCTCCTCCTCACGTGGCAACCGTTGTGGCTGCTGTTGCAGGCAGCTCCGGAGTTGGCCCTGGACCCAGTCCAGCTGACCTCCGACCCCCCAGGGCCTATCAAGCCCTGGTCTTCGCACTCCTCTGATCTCCCACCTGAATCTCCACAAGCGCTTACACCCCCGGCAGAGCCAGGGGGCTTTAATTACCCGGAATCCACCGCTCCAGCCCAGATGTTGGCCCCTCCTCAGGAATTGACTGGGACTTTAGTTCCATTCCTGGTCACAGATTCAGTCGGAGAGCCGTCGCCAGGACCAAAGCAGTTTGCTGTTTCACATCAGGAGGTGAATAATCAAAGGGCCCCAGAAGTGATTCCAGTGTCAAGTTGGATCAGAATCTGGCCCTCACTCTGTCGCCTCGACTCAAAAGTAAGATTCTGACTGTAGCTCTAGATCAGCCAAAAGATCACCATTCATATGAAATACCTGTTCCATCTCTAGATAGTCAGAGTTCAAAACCAACAAGATATATTTTCTCACCTACAATTCTGAAGAGAGATGTAGCTGAGCATCCAAGATTTAACAAAGTTGTTAGAACTCCAGGCCAGCTTCCAAAAACACCTCATCATGTGCCTCAAAGGTTGCAGGACGATTATCTAGATTCTGGTATGGACATCATGTATCCTGAGGATAACCAACCTGTAGATGAAAGGGGAGACCCAGAACCACGTCCAGAGCCTCAGGATGTTGAACTTTCATCCCAGCAAGAGGCCCCTGTTGAGCAATCACAGACTCCTGAGGAGGATGAATCTTTTTCACCCCAGGCTCAACATCCAGAGTCCTCTGATGAGGTAGAATCACTTCAGCAGGAGTCATCATCTCCCAAGGTTGTTAAGCTATTTTCAAATTCTGCAACCACACAGCATGCCCCAGCTGCACCTCCAGAGTCTTCTGAGGAATTGGAACTATCTTCAGTTGAAGAGGGTGCCCCAGATGAGCCTTCAGATTCCCCTGAAGAGGATGAACTTTTATCAGACCAGCAGGATGCTCTAGCTCAACCTACTGAGGACCCTGAGGAAGTAGAATCTTCTCCAACCACTCAGGAAGCCACTATTCAGCCTCCGGGGCCATCTACAGAGGTTGAAGCTCAACCATTATCACCTGATGAAGAAAATGTTCCATCTCCAAGTCAGAATGAAGCTCAACCCTTACACTTACCCGGTGTCACTGTTAAACCTGTGGCTGTTACCATAACTCCAGAAGTCACTGATGAGGTTGTACCAACTGAGCAGGAAGCACAGGCTCAGCTTCCAGAAAGCCCTGAGGGAGTTGAAACTTCCCCAGACCAGGAGGAAGCCCCAGAGCAGCAGGAAACTCCATCTAAGCCTGTAGAGGCTCCCGAGGAGGTGGAGCCTCCTCCAAACCCTCAGGAGGACCTGGCTCAGCCTCTGGAATCATCTACAGAGGTAGGAGATCAACCATTAGCACCCAATGAGGAAGATGTTTCATCTCCAAGTGAAAATGAAGCTCAGCCCCCAAACTTGCCCAATGTCACCATTAAGCCTATGGTTGTGACTGTTACTGTAGCTCCAGAGGTCACTAATGAGGATGCACCAGCCCAGCAGGAGGCACAGGCTCAGCCTCCAGAAAGTCCTGAGGAGGTTGAACCTTCCCCAATCCAGCAGGAAGCTCCAGCTCAGCCTACAGAGGCTCCTGGGGAAGTGGGACCTGCTCCAAATCCTCAGGAGACCCCTGCCCAGTCTCCAGAATCATCTACAGAGGTTGGAGCTCAGCCATCAGCACATCAAGAGGAAAATGGTCCATCTCCAACTCAGAATGAAGCTCAACCCTCACATTTGCCCAATGACACTGTTAAGCCTGTGGTTGTGACTGTTTATATAACTCCAGGGGTCACTAGTGAGGTTGCACCAACCCAGCAGGAGGCACAGGCTCAGCCTCCAGCAAGCCCTGAGGAGGTCGAACCTCCCCCAGTCCAGCAGGAAGTTCCAGCTCAGCCTGTAGAGGTTCCTGAGGAAGTGGAACCTGCTCCAAACCCTCAGGAAGCCCTGGCTCAGCCTCTGGAAGCATCTACTGAGGTTGGAGTTCAACCATCACCTGATGAGGGAAATGTTCCATCTCCAAGTGAAAATGAAGCTCAGCCCTCAAACTGGCCCAATGTCACCAGTAAGCCCCTGGTTGTGACTGTTACTGTAGCTCCAGAGGTCACTAGTGAGGTTGCACCAGCCCAGCAGGAGGCACAGGCTCAGCCTCCAGAAAGCCCTGAGGAGGTCAAACTTTCCCCAATCCAGCAGGAAGCTCCAGCTCAGCTTGTGGAGGCTCCTAAGGAAGTGGAACCTGCTCAGAACTCTCAGGAGGCCCTGGCTCAGCCTCCAGAAGCATCTACAGAGGTTGGAGTGCAGCCATCAGCACCTGATGAGGGAAATGTTCCATCTCCAACTCAGAATGAAGCTCAGTCCTCAAACTTGCCCAATGTCACTGTTAAGCCTGTGGTTGTGACTGTTTACATAACTCCAGGGGTCACTAGTGAGGTTGCACCAACCCAGCAGGAGGCACAGGCTCAGCCTCCAGAAAGCCCTGGGGTGGTCGAACCTCCCCCAGTCCAGCAGGAAGCTTCAGCTCAGCCTGTAGAGGCTTCTGAGGAGGTGGGACCTGCTCCAAACCCTCAGGAGGCCCCAGCTCAGCCTCTGGGAGCATCTACAGAGGTTGGAGTTCAACCATCAGCATCTGATGAGGCAAAAGTTTCATCTCCAAGTGAAAAAGAAGCTCAATCCTCAAACTTGCCCAATGTCACCATTAAGCCCATGGTTGTAACTGTTGCCATAACTCCAGAGGTCACTAGTGAGGTTGCACCAACCCAGCAGGAAACACAGGCCCAGCCTCCAAGAAGCCCTGGGGTGGTCGAACCTCCCCCAGTTCAGCAGGAAGCTCTAGCTCAGCCCGTAGAGGCTCCTGAGGAAGCGGAACCTGCTCCAAACCCTCAGGAGGCCCCGGCTCAGCCTCCGGAAGCATCTACAGAGGTTGGAGTTCAACCATCAGCACCTGATGAGGGAAATGTTCCATCTCCAAGTGAAAAAGAAGCTCATCCCTCAAACTTGCCCAATGTCACCGTTAAGCCCATGGTTGTGACTGTTACCATAACTCCAGAAGTCACTAGGGAGGTTGAAACTTTTCCAGCCCATGAAGAGGCCCCAGCTCAACCTGCACAACCCTCTGAAAAGGTGGAACCTCCAGTCCAGCAAGAGGTTCCAACTGAGTTTCCACAGTATACCAACGAATTAACTCAAATGCCAGCAAGAAATAAGGAGGTAACTCAAAATATAACTCGGCATCAAACTCATTCAAACTTGCCCACTATTACACTTACCGTATTGTCAGAACCTAGTAAAAATGCAGCCCAGCAGGAGGCCCCACCTCAGCCTCCTGAGCACCTTGAGGAGACAGAACCTTCTCTGTCCCAGCAGAATGCCTCAGCTAAGCCACCAGAATCTCCTGGGGAGGTTAAGCCTTTAAGTGAGCAGGAGCACCAAGATCAAACTTATGAGCCTTCTGGGGAAGTTGAATCTTCTCCAATCCAGCAGGATCATGAGGTAGCTTCACCAGGTTACCATCATGGTCAGCATTCAAACTTAACCAATGCCACTGTCAAACCTCCAAAAGTTCGGGTTACTATAACAGTGGAACCCACTACAGAGGTAGGACCTTCTCCAATTCAGCATGAGGCTCAGCCTTCAGTGCCACTTAATTATATGGAAACTTCATCCCAACAAGAGGCCCCAGCCCAGCTTCCACAGACCCCTGAGAAGGTTGAACCTTCTCCAACTCAACAGGAGACCCCAGTTCAGACATCAGAACTCGCTAATGAAATTGTAGTTCATGCCCCAAAGCATGTGAAGGCAGTTTCTACAAGTCAGGATCAAGCTCAGCTTCCAACATTGCCCAGTGTCACTGTCAAGCCTGTGTCTTTGGTACTTACCATAACTCCAGACCTCCCTTATGAGGTTGAAACTCCACCCCAACAAGAGGCCCCAGATAAGCTTGAAATGTCCTCTGAACAGTTGGAACCTTTGTCAGTCCAACAAGAAGTGCCACGTCAGCGTCCAGGCCTCTCTGCAACAGTTGAACCTTATTCAAGCCAACAGGATGACTCAGCTCTGCCTCAAGTAGGTGTAGAACTTTCTCCAGTTCAGCAGGAGGGCCCAACTCAACATCCAGAGCCCAGTGAGGGGGCCAGATCTCCAGACCTCCAAGGCCCACCTGTAGAGTCCCTTATGAATATTGTAGCTCAACCTAGAAGTGAAGCTCAGCATCCAGCGTTTCCTAAATTCATAGTCAAACCCATGGTTCTGATGGTTCCTGCAACTTCAGAGCCCATTAAGGAAGCTAACAATTCACCACCACATCAGGATGATCCTGCTAAACCTCCATCTCCCCCTGAACAATCTCAACCCCTTTCCCAATCTCCAGAGTCCTCTGAAAACATTGAGTCTTCCCCAGGCCAACAAGAGGCCATAGCTCAGACTCTAGATTCCCCTCAAAACACAGGAGAATTTTCTGTCCAACAGGAGCCCCCAGATGAGCCATCAGAGCCCCCTACACAGATTGAACTATCTACAGCTGAGCAGGAAGGGTCAGTTCATCCTCCAAAGCCCACTGCAGAGGTCAAACTTTCAACCGAGCAGGAGGCCCCATCTCATCCTCCAGTCCCCCAGGCGAACCCAGCTGTATCTTCTGAACCTCCTGATAAGTCTCTATCCCAGCAAGAAACCCCATATCAGCTTCCAGAACCTCCCAAGAAAGTAGAATCTTCTCTAACTCAACTGCAGGGCCTATCTCAGCTCCCTGAGAATGTCGAACCATCTCTAGTCCAGAAGGAAGCTCCAGCTCAATCTCAGCCACATAATGAGGCAGAAGACTCTCCAGCTCCCCAAGGGCCCTCAGTTCAGCTTCCAGAGACCCCTAAAAATGTAGAATTCTCTCCAGATCTGCAAGATTCTTCTACTCTGTCTTCAGAGCCCAATACAGAGATGGAAGCTCTGGAGTTTCCAACTCCTCCGGAGCCTGCTAATGAGGTAGAAACTCCTCTAGCTCAGCAGGCCCCAGTTCAACCAGTCCATGATGAAGTTGCAATTCCACTTTCAGGACTGGATCAAACTCAGCATTCAAACTTGCCCCATGTCACTGTTAAACCTTTTAACCTAGAGCTTAGCATAACCCTAGGACCTACTATGAAGGCAGAACATTCTACAATCCTCCAGCAGAATATACCTCCCATATACCCTAAAGTGACACTTCCATATGCAGAGCAGGTCCAGGCTCAGAATCTAACCTTGAGTGAAGTCACAGTACATCCTTCAGACTTGGAACTTAGCATAACCTCAGAACCCAATAAGGAGGTTGAAATTTCTCCAGCCATGGAGGAGACTACAACTCAATTTCCAGATTCACAATCTCCAGTCCATAGTGAAGCAGTTCCATCTCCAGAACAGGATCAAGCTCAGAATTCAATGTTGCACAATGTCACACTTTCTCCTTTGAACAAGCCATTTACCATAACTCTAGAACATCCTACGAAGACTGAATATTCTACAACCCCACAGAAGACGACAACTTCTCCAGAGAACCCTGAGGTGACACTTCCACATCTAGACCATATTCAGGCTCAGCATCCAATCTTGAGTGAAGTCACTGTTCAACCTGTAGACCTGGAATTTACCATAACTCCAGAACCCAGTAAGGAAATTGAACTTTCTCCACCTGTGCAGGAAATCCCCAGTCAGCCTCCAGAGCCACTTAAGGATGTTATTGTATCTCAGTCTCCAGTATACCAGGAGGCAACAGTTCCAACACCAAATCAGGATCAAGTTCAGCATCCATTGTCACCCAATGTCACAGTTCAACCTTTGGATCTGGGGCTCCCCATAACTCCAGAACATACTACAGAGGCTGAACACTCTATAGTCCTGCAACAGACTACAGCTCCTCCAAAGCAACCTGACGTGACACTCCGACAACCAGAGCAGGTCCAGAGTCAGCATACAACAGTTCAACCTACGAATTTGGAAATTACCACAACTACAGGATCCAATGCAGAGGTTGAACCTTCTCCAATTATGCAGGAAACAGCTTACCCTCCAGAGCCTTCTAAAGAAGTAGTTGAGCAGCCATTCCTTCAGGAGGTGACATTTCGCCCTCCAGAGCCTTTTAAAGAAGTAGTTGAGCAGCCATTCCTTCAGGAGGTGACATTTCACCCTCCAGAGCCTTCTAAAGAAGTAGTTGAGCAGCCATTCCTTCAGGAGATGACAGTTCCAACTTCAGGTCAAGATCAAGGTCAGCATTCTACTTCATACCATATCACAGATCATCCTTTGGACCTGGGACTCCCCATAACTCCAGAACATACTACAGAGGCTGAACCCTCTATAGTCCTGCAACAGACTACAGCTCCTCCAAAGCAACCTGATGTGACACTTCCACAACCAGAGCAGGTTCAGAGTCAGCATACAACAGTTCAACCAACGAATCTGGAAATTACCACAACTGCAGGATCCAATGTAGAGGTTGAATCTTCTCCAATCACGCAAGAGACTTCAGCTCACTCTCCAAAGCCACCTAAAGAAGTTGTGGTTGAGCAGCCATTCACTCAGGAAGTGACTGTTTCAACTTCAAGTAAAGATCAAGGTCAGCATTCTACTTCACACCATGCCACAGATAATCATTTGAACCTGGGGCTCACTGTAACTCCAGAGCATACTATCAAAGCTGAACATTCTACTGTCCTAAAGAATATTATAACTCCTCAGAGTCAACAATCAAACCAAGGCACATTTCTACCTGTGGACATGGTAACTCAGCAACAAGAATCAGCTGAGACAGTTCTTTCCCTTGCAACAGCTCTGGATTTATATGATCAAGGAAAGGGACACATGAATTTTACTAATCAACCAGGACGGAATGCCACCACACACATCAACATATGTGAACTCTGTACCTGCAAAGATGAGACACTTTCATGTGCTGGTCTCAGCCCAAAGCAGAGACTCCGCAGAGTGCCTGTGCCAGAGCTACACACCTACAACGGCACCTTCACCACCTTGTAAGGATCCCCTCTCATTTGTTTTCCTCCTTCCTGCTGACTTGGCAACCTTTCCTTAAGCTCTTTCTGGGCCTTCCTACTTTCCCCAACCCACACTGACTGACTGTTTTAACTGTTCTTTATTCTCCTCATTATTATTCTCCCTTCTGCAGTCTTTTATTTGTAATTGCTCTTACTCGTATTTCCTCACCCATTTTTTAGCCCCATCATTTCATTCCTTAACTTTTACTTTCCTCCCATTTTTGCTCCTTCCTCTTTATACCAAGATTCCCCTCTCCCCATTTTATTGGGGGCAATACAGCCAAGTGGTTAAGAGTAGAGAGTCTGGAGCCAGACTGCATGGGTCTGAACCCAGATCTGTCATTTATTAGCTTATGACTCATCTGTAAAATGGAGATTATGATAACTATCAGCTTATAGGATCTTTGTGGGATTTGAATGAGCTCATTAATACCTGTAAATCACTTATGTCAATGCCTTACATAAGAAAAAATATGTATATACCTAATATATATGTATTAGCTATTATTATTATGTGACCCCCTCAATTATATTCAGAATTCATCTTTGTTCCCTGACTTCTATATGTGGCACCTATTTTATGCCCAACCCAAGGCTAAGTACTGTGGGAGCAACAGGTATGATATTGTCTCCAAAACATGACAGTGATAGGTCAGAAGAAGGGACCACGTCCATAAAGGAAGTGCTAGAAGAGATAAAGACCGTGGGTGTCGTTAATTCACTAGAGTCTGTAATCAGTGGAGTGCGGAGATCAGGGAAGCTGCATAGAGGAACTAAAACTTTAGCTGGGACTTACAGAATAACTGTGATTTGTTAAATCAAAAGCAAAGCTGTAGGAATGATCAGGATTTAATAAACCAATTAAGTTGTAAGGAAGTGGGTTATGAAGTAATGAAAAATGATTATGAAAAATCTTGAGTATCATCTAAAGGGGTTTGAAAGTTACATTATGAGACATGGAGAACCATTGAAAGTTTTCAAGTAAGACAAAAGATGAAAACAAGGGAGTGGCGGATCCTATATTTCTCAAATGCAAACAGTGATATAAACCAACATTACCTCAATAAATTAAAACAAAAAGGGGGAATTTTTTAAGAATTTATTAGTAGCGTGATCTAGAAAAGAAAGCTTGAATCAAGGAAACCAGTAGAATGCTCTGGCAAAATCTAGGAGTAAAGTGAGAAAAGGCTGAGTCAGAGTGGTTGTGATAGGAATGGACAGGAAATCCCGAAAGTACTACACGGGGAGAGCCAAAAGGAGTTAGTAACTGACTAGAGTCAGGGAAAAGGAAAGAAAAATCACATGACTCAAAGGTTCCTATTCTGGATGATGACAGTGTTGGTGGTGTAAATAGTGGAAATACAGCAATTGGGAAAAACAGCCTGTTCAAAGATGAATTGAGTTTTAGGCATTTCTGTTGGTGAGCGTAAAGCAGCCAGAAGACTTCTGGTTGAGTAGAAATGTCTACTGAGCACATGGGCAGACAGGTATCCATTCTGTTTTATTTTTGGACCCTCTGAAAAATATGTACATAAACTGAATAGGTAAACTGTTGCTGAGGAAAGAGAACACAAAGCTGAAGATTGAAAGTCATCCTCCCACTTAGCTGTTGAAGCCAACTTCAGACATTTGACTACTGCTTTTAAACATGTAATTTAAGGGGCCATTTCTCAGTGTTGCAAAATATCACAGAAGTATACAAGGTAAAATGTGAAAATTCCACCCCTCCCTACTAACCCCCATAAGATCATTCCTCTTAGCGTTTCGGAATGTGTGTCCTTCCTTGCAGTCTCTTTCCTTTGCGTTTTTTCCCATCAAGACAATACTTGGCTCCTTACTCAGTGATTTGTCCTTTTCATTATGCAATGTGAAGATATTTCCACATTAGTCCCTCTGATTTTTAATTGCCCTTATCCTCCTAACACCTGGAGAGACTTCAACAGCTGGCACTGAGCCAAAGCATTGGCGTTACATGGCATAGGGTTTCTTTATTTGCTCATAATGATAAATTTTTGCCATTTTTCTGTCAAATTGTTTATCATTTTCTCATTGTTTTATAGCAAGAGTTATTTTAAACTCATAGGTAATTTGGGGGATTACATTCAAATTTACTGGTATTATCTTGTGTACGCAAGAAATTGGACAGATAGGGAAGTTCAGCTTCTGAAGAGAGGCCTTGTTGTGCCATCGGCCCCACATCATGTCTGCATTAACTGTGCAAACTGAGAAACTGATAGCTGTGAAATTAGAAAGCTGAGGTTTTCGGCATTTGAACATTCCTCCCAAGGTTGCCATGATTTTTTCACTCTGTGAAAGATGATTCATTCTGTCCATTCTTTTCCTGCCTATTGAAGGATATGAACTGTGTTTCTTCTACAGAAATTTCCAAGGAAACTCTATTTCTTACATTGATGAAAATATATGGAACTCATACCGTTGGGCTGAGAAACTGTGAGTATATTCTCTCCAATTATGAATACAAAAAAACTAACTGCATTGTAAAATCCTTCGCCCAGAATTTTGAGTACCTCTGAGAAAAGATGTTTATCCCTCCATATCTAAAATCAACCTCTATTGATTATAATTCTGTTTATTTTAAAAATTAAATTTTGTGGCCTCTCTTCAGAATAAGCCAACTTATTTTCCATTATAAGAGTAATACATGGTTATAGTCTCAATGAAAATGACAAGGAAATAACATTTATAGTGAAAACTTTCTACCCCATTGCCCCATTCCTGCTATCCTTGGGTTTAGTACATATCCTTCCAGACCTTTCTCATTACATTTGCATATGTATCTATAGATAGAAAAATAGGCTTGCTGTGATTTTCTTATCTTTTTTTAAAACATAAATGGTAACCTCCTGCAATTTAATTATTTCACTTCATCGTATGTCTTAGATTTCTTTCATTCCCTGTACAAAAAGGGTTACCTCATCCATTTAAACTTCTATATAATACTCTATAGTGTGGATATATCACAGTTTAATAATTTCTCTAATGATGGATGTTTAGATTATGTCCACTTTTCTTATTACATGCTGCAACACGCAGCTTTGTACATGCATCTTTGTGAGCACAGGTAGGTATGTCTGTGGAATAGATGCCTAGAAATGGAATTGTTGGATTGAAAGCAATGTACTTATAAAATCTTAATTGCTCTCAAATAAATGTGCCAATTTACACTCCTGTCAACATGCCCTGACACTTTCGTCACTGAACGTTCCCTATTTTTTGATTGATCTGTTGAGTGAATAAAGGGGATCCCATCTGAATTTGAATTTTTCTGATTACTCGTGAATTTAAATATCTTTATATGGTCATTGAACATTTGTACTTCTATTTTTTTAAATTGGATTTTTTTTAAAGATTTATTTATTTATATAAGCCCTGGGATAAAGGCCACAGGCGCGGGAGAGTGAGAATTCACCACAGAGCGGGGAGTAGAACAGGCAGAAGGACCAAAATACACTGCTGAGGGGAGCAGCGGGCGACACAGGAGAGGTCTGCGCGCCATGTGGGAATCTCCCTGGATGACCAGGAACTGAGCCGGCGCTGCAGAGGCTGTGGACAGCTTCATAGTGCGGCGCTCAACCCACTGCGCCACCAGGGAGGCCCCTTCTCTGGATTGTTTGTCCTTTGCCTGTTTTTCTGTATTGTCCTTTTAATTGTAGAAAAAGTCAGTTTAGACACATGAGTAATTTGGGGGAAAAAAATTACATTGGTCTGTTAACTTATTGGCAAGGGAAAAAATGAGAATTGGGCCATTGTTTTTCAACTTGTGACTTTCTTAAAAATTGTGTATCATTTATATTTCCCATCTGGTATCTAACTTAGAGATTTTATTTTCCAAATTCATAAGAAAATGAAAGTCATTAGGAGTGGTGAGGGGTGGGTAGGCTGAGGAACAGGGTAGAGGAAAACTTTAGATTGTGTGCTACATACATTTGGAATCTTGAGCCATATGAATATATAAAATTCATTAAAAAATAGAAATTGAAGTTTTAAAGTTAATGTTTATAAAACATATATTTGGGAGTTTATACCTAAAACACGAGCCTGGTGAAGTTTCAAGATTTCTAGGTTTGGGGCCTCCCTGGTGGCGCAGCAGTTGAGCGCTGGGCTGTGAAGCTGCCCACAGCCTCTGCAGTGCCCTTTGATCCCTGGCCGTCAGGCGAGGGTTCCACATGGCGTGCAGACCTCTCCTGCCGCCCACTGCTCCCCTCAGCAGTGTACTTCAGTCCCCCTGCCTGTTCTGCTCCCCGCTCTGGCTCTCTCCCCTCCCACGCTTCTGACTGTACCCAGTGCTTTATAAATAAATAAATAAATCTTTTTAAAAAAAAAGATTTCTAGGTTTGAGATTTATTTATACCTGTATGACAGAGGTTTCTAAATTAGGGTGCCATAGTCCCCCAGGGCAGGGTTTAACTTTTATTTTTCCCATACTATAGATCTTTTTGGTGATCCCTAGAAGCTTATATTCTTGGGATAATGCATTTAAATGCATAATAACTTAAAATGTATAGGAAACTAAATATATTGAAATATAGTTTTCAAAATATATTTTTAAATACTGTGATAAGTAAAAAATATAATAGTAAATCTTCTCTTAACACAATAACAAGATACAGTGGTAGGTCTATATAAAATATGAACCACCTTGTAACTTTAAAGTTGTGATGAGAATAAATGAGTTTGTGATACCTACAACAAACATATGAAAATATGTGATTTCTATTGGAAACCAGATGAACTGTACTGCTAATCTACTGTGGCCTTCCATCTACATTCACGATGGAAGGAAGTGTGTTTGAAGTTGTGAAAATAGTGATTTAATTTTATTTCCCATCTAAGTTTGGTGCCCTGAATTCTATGGATGCTCACCTAAAAGGATGACCCACAAATGGAAATTGGACACACATCTTTGCATGTATTCAAAAAGCGCAGTTTTCTAGGAAAGGGCCCATAGCTTTTATGAAATTCTTATAGGGTTATTGTCTCAAAAGATTGAATCACAAATGTAGGAGAGAAGAAAGACATTTCTTGTCCTCTAAATCTCTACTTATCTTCCTGAGTGATAATAAGTGATTTGTTTTAAATGAGAGCAGTATATCTGAAAATTGATGATCTGTAACTTTCTGAGATCATTCAACACATATTTACGGAATACCTACTAGGTGTCAAGAGCTGTTCTCTGTGTTAGGGATATAGACCCAAGAACAAAATGACCAAGATCCCATCTCTCAAGAGTTTACAAATAATCTTGAGTTGATTCATTCCTATGAATCATAAGTGATTCATCTTTGTAGGTGAAATTCTGTTTCTGTTTCAAGAAAAGGCATGAAATGAGCTCCTGGAGCTTCTATTCCTGGTTGATTTCCCTGAAAATAAGGAAGAGGTGGGAGGTGCTTTTGGTGGCTAATCAGGGAGCACATACCCTATTCCTTTCTAACACCAATTGGTCCTACCTGGGGGAAGACATCTTTTGCTGTCTCATCCAAGAAGGAAGCATATGGGGTTGATGTGCTGCCCACTAGGGTTCCTACTACACTATCCTAGCCAGTCATCCTGTAGTTAACTCCAGATCATTTCTGGTAAGAAAGCAATTGTTGGAGATGTTCCCATGCTTTGAGCTAAAGATGTTTTTTTATATTTTTTCTATCATTCTTAGGGATTTTTGGTGGAGGTGGGAAAGGGAGAGACTTGGCATGTTTCAGTCTGTAACTTGACAGCACAGCTTCTTAGGAAAAGAGTTTCATCCCCCTGTTACATCCTAGAGAAACTAAGGCAAATATGTACCGGGCTACAAGTGCAAGAATGTTCCTAGCAACATGTTGTAGTAACAAAAACCTGAAAGAATCTTGCAATCCATCAACAATAGAATGAGTACAGCAGATACTACTCACTAGAAACATAATACAAGCTACATAAAAATCTTAAATTTTCTGGTAGCCTCTTAAAAATGAAAGTAAGTAATAAACAGATGGAAAAATGTTAATATATTTTATTAATTTATATCCAAAATATTTCAATATATAATTTATATGCATTAATAATATATTATTACATTATGAAGGAAAATGCTAATGAGTTTACATTTTTTTCCATACTATTGAAATTTCAATATGGTTACTTAATTTTTTGTCAAAAATAATTGATCTGTATTTAGATTTCATAACATTTACAGTTGAAAAAGTAGCATCACCTACCTAAATTGTTGCAAATACACTTAAAATTTCCAGTAACTGCATCAAGTTTCCATTTTTAAATTAACTATTTAAATATTTTAAATAAAGTAAATTAAGCTTTCCAGTCATACTGGTAACTTTAAAGATACTCAGTAGCTACATGTAGCTAAACATGCAATAGTAGGCAGTGAAATGAACCAACCTTAGCTAATGCAATAGTATAATTAATTTGCAAAATGCTGATGAAAGCAGCATAGAAAACCACATACATGATTTCATTTATATGAAGTTCAAGAAGAAGCAAAACTAAACTATGTTGTTTATGGCTGACAGATGATAAGGAAAAGTAGTAATTTATCCTGTTGTAGTAATTATTGTGTAGTGAATTGATTTGGATCCAGAAATAATCTTTTCATTTTTCAGAATTATCAGTGAAAATCATTTGACTGAATTACACAAGGATTCATTTGAAGGCCTGCTATCCCTCCAGTATTTGTAAGTTAGTTAATCATCTTTATTTATGAGTTTTAGTTATATTTATAAAATAATTAAGGGATTCAAATTAGATAATCTTTATACTTTCTCCCAGTAATAAAATTCTACAATTGTGTCAGTCTGTGTAGGGTCTTAGCCGATCTCTAGCATTAAATAATTCCTATGCATTTTCGGTTTTTTTAATTATATAAACAAGATATTGATAGAAAAAGCTTCAGTTATAGAGGAAAACAGTGTTGAAATCTGAGCAACTAGAGACAGCCATATGAACCTTGTTATGTAACTGTTTATAAACCATCTGCTTATATTTATGTTCATATTTGACCCACGGGTCAAATCCAGTCCATGGTTCATTTTTATATTGCTCATAAGTTAAGAATGGTTTTTATATTTTTAAAAGTCTGTAAGTGAAAATAAACAGAGACTATACAACTGAGATCATGTATGACCTGCAAAGCCTGAAATATTTACTATCTGCCCATTACAGAAAAGATTTGGAAAAAAAAATATTTGCCTAGTAAAATGAGAAGAATTAAAGTTAACCTCAAATTATTACCTATGGGACCAGAAAATATAGAACACCTTAATTTGAATGCCAGAATTTATCAATTTAAATTAACAAATATTAAAATTTGACTGAGCAGATGTATCATATAAATGGTACTATTAAGAACATATTAAGTTACTAAGTGAGCAGACTGGTGTTAAGAATTTTAATGCAGGAATTGTCATGCCAGTATTAAAAGTAATGTTTATATAGATGCTTAACTGGTATAGTTAGAAATGTTTATAGCCTGACTATCATGTCATCACAAAGGTGTTCTAGGACAGACTCTACCCACAACTACAGATTCCCTGGCTGAGTACAAAGCCCCCCCCCCACCATGACTGATTCAGTCATTTCACAGGAGGGCTAAGAATATGCATCTTCACTAAGTTCCCAAGTGATGCTGGTATTTGAGAACTGCTTCCGGAGAGTTAATCTGGTGAATGTGTAAGCATGGATTAGAAAGGAAGAGTCTAGAGATGACACCCATCTAGGTGAAAAGTGAGGGACTAAGCTGGACTCAATAGAAATACCAGAGTCAACTATAGTCAAAGGTAATAGATGTTTAAAATAGAAATCTAGTACCTGTTGTTTTCTGTTGTTCTACTACTGTGCAACTGAAACAATGAAGTTCATGTGCTATTAAGGCAATGCAAAACCAAAACATGAATTTCTATTAATATAATAGAAAGTATAATTCTGAATTAGTTCAAAGTTATGTATAAATTAGAGGGGTTTCAAGTTATGTGACAGGTTGTCTTTTATTTCTTCTGGTATTGAAATGACCTTAGAAAAATATCACTAAACAAGGAAGGTGTATAAATGTGAGAATTTTCCCTTTAATATTAGAAATAATAATTACATATAGAGATAAAAACTTTGAGCTTATAGAATTTGATGGGAACATAAAAGATCATATAATCAATTCTTCTACTATCAGGAAAGATGACCTCCAAAATTTATCAATATCTATAGTTATATATTTTATTTATGAAGACTATGAAAGTGGGAGAGGTGAGACAGGGTTCAGGGCTCTGGAAGTTTTAAATTTTAGTTCCTAAGGTTTAGAGTTTAGAGAAAAGTTACTCATTCAGTATTATCATTCTGACCTCTTCTAGTTATTCCTACTAATTAGATATCTAGTAGCTAATTGAGGCAATACTTTCCTTTTACTTTTCCTAGAGATTTATCCTGCAATAAAATACAGTCTATTGAAAGGCGTACATTTGAACCACTACCTTTCTTGCAGTTTGTGTAAGTTATAAATATAACTTCATTATATCTGGGATGTTTATAAAAGTTAATTATAAACATTGTTATTCATTTTTAAATATTAAAATTTTATTAATAGACAGCTACTAAAATTATGTAGCAATTTTTTTGTCTCTAACAAAGATTGTGTGTGAAATTATTACACAGGTCAGGGTGAATTATTCTAGAACAATAGTTTCAAGCAGGGTGACTTAGTTCCCAGGTAACATTTGGCAATGTCTTATCAGAACTGTAGATAATGATACTGGCACCTAGTGGGCAGAAGGAGAGATGCTGCAAAAACATCCTAGAATGCATAAAACAGCTGTCCCGTAACAGGGATTACCCAGGCCAAAATATCAACAGTGCTGAAGTCGTGAAACTCTGTTCTAGAGAAATAAGATCACTTACAAAGTATTATTGAGCATTTACTATCTTGTATCTACTGCACCAATGTATAAACATGAAAGTATAAGTCATAAGCAAATATCTTCCACCATGAGATTTCTTAGTGCATGGAGAAAGTATTGAGGTTATACTTCATCACATATAACTTAGAATTACTGCCAAAGAATACATGTTTTGAAAGAATATCAATTTTTTTCTTCTTTTTTTTGTAGAAATCTTGGTTGCAACTTACTCACAGAACTGAGCTTTGGAACGTTTCAGGCCTGGCATGGAATGCAGTTTTACATAAGCTGTAAGTGAAGTAGACACTGAATACATGTGAAAAACTATGTGTAGAAATATCATACCACTGATGGTTATCTGAGGGTAAATACAATGTGATTCTGAAAATTATGTCTTAAGATTCATTCATTTTTTTCAAATGAGGAAACTAAGGTACAAAGAGGCCAGGGATTGGCTTGTATATGGCATGCTTTGCTTTCCCTCATGCTGCTCTGGGCATGATCAACAAAAGGCACCAGAGTGGCACTGACATGGGAATCCGAGCGATGGCTACTATAATATGTGTATGGTCCTGGAAATTTCCATTTTTAATTTAACTTTGATTCCTACTCATGTGTAAAGTTCTTATATGTATGCAACATAGAGCTACAAAGAATTAAGTTTAGCATAAAGCTCTCCAAGGAACAGGTATGGATCCTTCCTTTGCCATCAGTTTCTTTGACATGACAAAGCAGAAAGAATTCATGAAAACCTGCCACAGGACCCTTTTCTCCCAAATCACCAAGAACATTTTTTCAAAAAGTGAATTATCTCTGAGCAATAGAAGTGTCTGTGGTATGGAATTCATAAAGAAAATACATTGCTGTAGCTTAATCCCACATACTTTCATCCCTTTCAACTAAAAAATTCTGTGATTTCTGATACAAGCAAATCATTGTGGGTATATTCAGTGATTTGGCTTGACAAGGACTTTAGTCCAAAGGTGAGGATCTACTTAGACCTGACTTGGAAAAGACGGTCTTACTGTCTTGTGGTTCAGATATCCAGTTTCACAGTTCACTAAAGATTACATGAAGGTGTTTAGGGTGTCTCCGGAAGCTGGACTAACAGTTTCTGCAGAGGCCCATCTGATGCCTCCCCTTCCACTCACTAATTTGCTGATGCCTTCTTTGGAAAAAGAATACTGACAATCAGTTTTCCTTTCCCAAGGACATATTAGCTTCCTCCACCAAGAAATTTTAGTAACATCAATGTGCTGTCTTAATCTCATTATCTTTATTAAGCATTTTATAACACCAAGAGTCTTTTATAGGAAGCTATGTTTCAGTGTAGCTATGTAGGCAACACAAGAAAAAAGTTGCCAAAAAAAATTGTGGAATCACTATGGTAAAAATTAATGAATTCATTCAAAAATTCTTTTTTTTTAAATTTTTTATATACAAGAACGGGGTATAGTCAGAGTCGTGGGAGGGTGAGAGAATTCACCAGAGACAGAGCGGGGAGCAGAACAGGCAGACAGGACCGAAGACACTGCGGAGGGGAGCAGCAGGCAAGGCAGGAGAGGTTGCCGTGCCATATGGGTTTCTCTCTGGCTGGTGGGGAATCTAACCTGCCCTGCAGAGGCTGCAGACAGCTTCACAGCGCGGTGCTCAACCTGCTGCGCCAACAGGGAGGCCCCCCCATTCAAAAATCTTGCTGAGTAACATTGCCCCTGTGTATCAGCACTTGTACAAAGTGTTGATACAA